TTGTTACTTTTTCTTGTTTTTCTCTTTTTTTAAATATAATTTGGGGCACCTGGGTGGCTCAGTCGGTTGAGCGTCCGACTTCAGCCCAGGTAATGATCTCACAATCCATGAGTTCGAGCCCCGCGTCGGGCTCTGTGCTGACAGCTCAGAGCCTGGAGCCTGTTTCAGGTTCTGTGTCTCCCTCTCTCTCTGACCCTCCCCTGTTCATGCTCTGTCTCTCTCTGTCTCAAAAATAAATATACATTAAAAAATAATAATAAATAAATATATTTATTTATATAGAAATATTATATTAAATATATAAATATATTTATTGACAAATTGGTTTCTATACAATACCCAGTGCTCATCCCAACAAGTGCCCTCTTTAATGCCCACCACCCACTTTCCCCTCTCCCCCACCCCCCATCAACCCTCAGTTTGTTCTCAGTATCCAAGAGTCTCTTATGGTTTGCCTCCCTCCCTGTAACTTTTTTTCCCTCTTCTCCTCCCCAATGGTCTTCTGTTAATTTTCTCAAGATTCACCTATGAGTGAAAACATATGATATCTGTCTTTCTCTGACTGACTTATTTCACTTAATATAATACCTTCCAGTTCCATCCATGTGGCTGCAAATGGCCAGATTTTATTCTTTCTCATTGCCGAGTAGTATTCCATTGCATATATAAACCACATCTTCTTTATCCATGCATCAGTTGATGGACATTTAGGCTCTTTCCATAATTTGGCTGTTGTTGAAAGTGCTTCCATAAACATTGGGGTACATGTGCCCCTATGCATCAGCACTCTTGTATCCCTTGGGTCAATTCCTAGCACTGCTATAGGGCATGTCATTTCCTTTGAGTCTCCCTGCCCCCATACACTTGGACTCCCAAATGTTCCCCTCTGGCAAGTGAGAGCAGGAAGAAAGATGGATTAATAGTTCCCAGCACACATGACCCTGACCAGCCTGAAGGAAGTACTGGATAGGCTGTCTTTCCACATATACAGTATAGGCCACACACATATACCTGTGGCCTGCCATTTGATAGCTGTGTGGACATTGTCCCAGGCCTCTCGAGAGAAGTTAGGCAGGGGGTGGGGATCTGGCTCAAGATGCTCTGGGGACCCCCGCCATTGGGTTTCCCAGGTGGTTGAGTTATAAAATCTTCGCTCTAGGCATGTCAAGTTCCTAACAGAGATGGTAGACTTTCTGCCCCACTGGGCAAGACAGTTTTTCCCAATAATTGAGCTTTTGTGGAGCCAAACCCCAGTAGTAGGACTGGGGTATTCTGTTCCACTATAAGGTTTGCAGGGAACTAATTCTCTAGCCTCCCAGGGCCATTGATTCTTCATGTTGGCACCAATGAAGCATCCTATCCACAAAGGGAAGGTGAGTGCTATCAGAAACCTCTCATCACACTCCCAGCTGGCCAGGGTGGCCTCTGCCAATTCTGTGGTGAAAAGTAGAGCAAGAACCACAATAACAGCGAGAGACAAAGGGTGACAGTGCATCACAGTAAGGAAACAGATATAGAAAATATGGACAGTCTATTTGTTCCACCAGACCATCGACTCCTCAGGCTTTTGCCATGCGTGGATTAGTCAGCTTCCGGAGTGACTAAAGCAGGGCTGCAGTCTCCCAGAGCCTCTGGAGTTGCAGATTGCTTCTTCTGTATAGTCAGCTTGCACAGCCTTGATGGACCAGGAATGAACTCCCAGTTTTGAGATGCTGGCTTCACTCTGCTGTGGTGAATCCAGGGACCCACCTAGACCACCTTTACTGCCATTAGGGAACAGGGATGATGACCTTACCGGCTTCTTCAAGCTGATAAGGGATGGTGTGGGGGTACAGCAGTTAGAGTTTACCCAAGGGTCGGTTGAGTGGCCCACGGTATGGTTCTACAGGAAGGCTTTCTGGTTCAAACAGTGCTTCCAAGGTAACACGTCTGCAAACCACCTTCCATTCCTGGGGTGTCCATTGATTTTTTTCACACTTTCGATGGGAAATACATTCCAGAATTCTGGCAGCTTCCAGGATAGTGGTAGGAGCTAAGATGGGAAGCCGTGCTCATTCTTTTCCGAGGCCCATCCGTCATTTCCACCCGTGCAGCGCCCAGCTCTTCTCTGCCCGCTAACGCTACTTATCCCGGGAAAGCTCGCGCGGGGCGGTGGAGCAAACCCACACACTAAAAGTGAAACTTGAGCAGCGCTGGCCCGGCTGCTGGCTGGTGCCTTTCCCCCTCCTGCCTCCCCGCCGTCGCCACCCTTATGCTCTTCTAAGAGTTCTAAACAAGTATTCTTGGGGTGCAGTGAGAAAAAAACATAAGTACAATTTACATTTTTAAAAAAAGATATTTTTCTAAATATCTAAACAGTTTCTAAATTTTCCAAACAGTTACCTGAACACCTACCTACACCCAAATGGCCATATATCATTCCGTGTAGGAATTTTAGGTCTTACATAATATTCTTAAGATACAGACTTCATCATTTTATGGACTGCTCAGAGGTATCTGTGGTTCTCCTCTGCCTACAGTTTAAAGATTAAACTCACTCTGGTATTCAAATTCATTCGAGATTTAATTGACCAATATTTTCTCCCACTCTTAAAGACAACTCCTAGTTACCTAAACACACTTTTGCTTTTTTTTTTCCACTTCTTGCTTTTGTTCATGCTGTTCCATCCTAAATGTTCTTACTCCATTCCGCAACACCCCTCTTTCAACCATCACCCATTACCATCATCCATCTGCTGGGCGAAATCTTAGCCAATATTCCAAGATCCAACTAAATTGACACATCCCTATAAGCTCTCCAATTGGAGCTATGGTAGCTATGGTCCATGATCACTTAGAAATTTATTTTGTGTCCATTTTATCATCACCCAGTTAGTTGTGTATATACCTACATAAATGCCTTTGAGGGCAAATGATGTATTATTATTAATGTTTGGTTTTCTATCCCCTAAAAGTTTATCACAGTATCTTGGATTTCTTAATGAATATGCATTGGACTAAAACAGAAGAGGCTTGGGGCTCCACAGTGGCTCAGTTGGTTACATGTCCAGCTCTCAATTTTGGCTCAGGTCATGATCTCATGGTTGTGAGATGGAGCCCCACAGTGGGCTCTGGGCCGACCAGTGGAGACTGCATAAGAATCCTCTCCCTCTGCCCCTCTCCAGCTCATGGGTGCATGTGCACTCTGTCAAAATAAATAAATAAACTTAAAAACTAAAATGAAATAAATAAAATAAAATAAAATAAAATAAAATAAAATAAAATAAAATAGACAAATTGTATATTTTCAATTTGTTTCATTAAAAAGAACAAAAGCAAAAAATGTTTTATGGATAATTACTGTACAATGAGTATTTACCTATAGTACTATTTAAAATTTGCATACCAGAAAGAAATTTTATTCTAAATTTCTGTAGAATATATATCATAGAAATTATATATGTAATATAATTTCAGTGAATTTTAAAATATATATTCACACGAAAAATGAGGAGAAATATGACAAAATGTTACCAGGAGGTATCTTTCGATTGAGAAATTGATGAGTTTGTTTAGTCATTAATTTTTACCTTTCCAAGTGATCCAGAATAATCATGTTACTTTATAGTCCCCCCCCCAAAAGAAAGCTACTTGAAAATATCTGTGTGAGATTACATGTTCTTTGGAAATGACTCCCAAGATCTAGATCCTTTCAAATACACCTTAAAGCCCAGGGCAGCCCAGTTACTGTTGGCTGTTGCTCACTGGGCAGTCGCCCCAGTTTGTAACTCATTTAGGCTCCTAATCTGTTGGAACACTTTTTCTTGTCCTTGGATGCTACTGGCTCCAATGTGGAGGAAATGTTATTATCCTGAATGCCTTAAAAGCTACATAACAGCAAGGAAATTCATAGTAGCTATTTCAGCTGTGATCAAAAAACTGTTTAGAGTTGAAAGGCAAGTTAATTGGATTGTTTGCTTACAATTTAGTACCAAGGATACAAATTACTTAACTCCAAGGTTAAAATTAGTACCAGAGGTTGGACTAAAATAGGACTTTTCTTCAAGGAATTTATTTTTTTGCATTGTCAGTATTTTTGTCAGGATACACAGTGTTATATTCATATATTTATCATCTATTTACCTCCTTATCAGAAATGGTACCAGGGTGTAAAAGAGATTACAAAATTCTCCAGACTTTATACTTAAGCCAAAGTAATTATTATTTCCTTGCATTTGAAAGAATATAATAAGAACTCAAGTTAAGAAAATAAAGGTTGTGGCGCACCTGGCTAGCTCAGTCAGTGAAGCATCTGACTCTTGATCTCAGCTCAGGTCTTGACCTTAGGTTTGTGAATTCAAGCCCCATGTTGGGCTCTGCACTGGGTGTGGAGCCTATTTAGAAAAAAGAAGAAGAAGGACAAGGAGAAGAAGACATGCAGAGAAATTACTCCTAGACTATTGCCTGAAAAGGCTGCTATGAATAAACAGTTGGCTAGAATCATTTCAGAATTATGCAGTGAAATGAAGTTTTCATAGAAATGCATTTCAGATTTAAGTCCCTACGGACCTTAAAGAAAAGTGGCCAGTATTTCTGATAATCCTGATGATTGGTACACACATACTATAAACTAATTTTCACATAGCACAAAGCACTTTGTTGTCTGCAGGCATATAATGAGATTTGAGCGCAAAAACCACCAGGCCCATTCATGGCCTATAAGCCAAATCTCATCGTTGAACTGCTACAGAGTTTACACACGTTTACAATGAAAAGGCTAAGTGTTTTTGTTGTCACTGTTGTTTTGTTGTATTCTGTTTCAGAGCCCAGTTTCTAGTTCTGAACCAATGGGTCATAAAAGACACAGTATCTTATTAATTATTTTACTTACCTTCATCATATTGATGTGATATTAAGAAACCTTAATTTTTTTCTTTTTTAAATTTTAGAGAAGTGGGGGGAGCAGGGCAGAGAGAGGAAGAGTGAGAATCACAAGCAGGCTCCAAGCTCAGTGCAGAGCCCAATGCAGGACTCAATCCCATGGCCGAGGATCATGACCTGAGCCAAAATCAAGAGTCGGACACTCAACTGACTAAGCCACCCAGGCATCCCCAGGAAGCCTTTATTAGTGTGGTCCTACTAGATACCTACCCAGTACAGACTGTGGGGGAGACTTACTATTTTCCCAGCCAGCTCCCCCTTTTCTCTTCTTCTGGTCACAGTATTTCCTTTGGTGGCAAACTGCTGCCCCTCGGATTCCAAGCGCATGGATCTGCTACAGCATCCTGGCTTCAGAGGCCACCTTGCACATGGCTTTGTGCTATGTGAAAATTCATTTATAGTATGTGTGTGCCAATCACCGAGGCTATCAGAAATACTGGCCACTTTCCATTAAGGTCCATAGGGACTTAAATCCAAGGAGGATTTGTCATAGTATATCACAGTTCTATGGGGTGGGAACACCAATAGAAGGGTAGTGAACATTGATCTCTGAAGCTTTTCAAACAGAAGCTGGGTCGGGAGGATCAAGGGGTGGGCGTCAAAGGGTTCAGCAGCATTTTCCCCTCCTATGGTGGTGAATAAGTGTGGCTGTGAGCGGCAGCTTCCAGCAGCCAGGTTCTCTGCCACATGGAAGATCTCAGCCTGGGGGAGAAGACATAATTTGAAAATCAGGCCACGCAAGCAGGTGTTCAGCAAGTGTGACAATTTTTGTATGCAACTGAACTCCATTTCTCCAGTGATATCCTGTTGTACCAATGGATAGAAACCAAACCTCAATGAGTTCAGGTTCCTCTTTTTTCCCTTAACTTCTCTTCTAACTTCTAAGCAGGAGACAGTAAGAGAAACATCAGCTGGGCCCAATACAAGCAAAAGCTCTGATCCTTGGTCAGGTATTGAATTTCACACGGGACTCCTCATCCTGTCTGTTTTTCAGATGTTGATCTACATGGGTCCATGCCAAAGGTCACTTCAGGATCAATGACTCTCCCTGCTTTCCCCTAGTGCCTTTCTGAAGTGAATCGAGAAATATTCTCCAACCACTACCTGGGCTATGGCCACCTTGGCAAGGCTTTCTAACCCACAAGCACACCCATGCTATTCTCAGGAATGATGCTACTGTCCCTACACCTCAGTGAGTCAAGTCGGAACTCTGCAAGGCTACTTCAGATTTGACTGCCTTCATTGCACAGACATGCTGCCCCATGCTATCCCCAGTTGCCAAGCCATTAGGGTCTTCTCTCCATCCCTACTTCTATTTAGGATAAAGGGCAACCACTCTTTCTACTCTGGATCCTCTCCACTCTTAGGTTTCCCCCACACATTGAGAGTGTCTGTTGCTCCCCCCTCGAGCTCAGCCCTCAGATATAAACTTCATAGGATACTTCAAAAATTTGTTTCAACTATAGATTGGCTGTAACTGATATTATAAAACACATTCAGTTTAAGACACCAAACAACATAGACACTCACAGGGTGTTGATTAGTGAAGGATTCATTAACAGTATGCAGGGCCTCTTTCTCAACGGTGTACCAACTGAGCTCTCTTTGTTTCACCCTTGGCTTTCTTCTTTTCCCCTAATTTAGGATACTTCTCTTAGTCTTCAGAGTCTGAATTCACTCCCAGTCTATGTTTCTGAGACTCAAGACACAGTCTATTATCACATCTCCTGTGGCAATGGACACCAAAAAATGCCCACGATGAAAGAGTGTTATAGGGAAAATAAACGAAGAGTACTGGGGAAAAACATAGCAAGTAATATATCAAAACATTCCTCCACAGAGAGCATGATGTCCAGGAAGAAGAGGGGCAGGGGTCACATGAGGGAAAAGTGAATCCTGATGGTACCCACCTCTTGGACCACGGCTCTGAGTCCCTCCCAGAGAGCCTTCTCCTGCCTTCATGAAGCTTAGTTGATCAACTCTGCCTCAAGATCTTTCCTTAATTCCCTCCTTTTGCTTAAGCTAATTCAAGTTATGCATGGCTGACTCAATATAATAGCTTAGCCAAGAATGGGCATTTTTATTTCATGGAATCAGGAAGAGTTGAGCAACTAAACAACCAGAAGAGCAGACACGTAGCTGGTCTTCATGAATTCTAACACTACCATTAGCCTTCTCCATCTCTTCTCTCTGCTGCTCAGTATGAGTGGGTTTCATTCCTTTTTACTATGTCTCTCCCCGAGGTGGGAAACATGGCTACTGATCGTTCCCCAGTTTTTCATCAGTGGGTTCTACTATCAGATAAAAGAAGAAATAAGTCAGTGTTTAAAGTCTCTATTAATTCGTTTCAGTAGTAGAAATGTAAAGAGAAAGAAAATTATTGGGTTCGCCAATTCTTCTTCCATGAAATATGGACAGTAGCTTCTGTTTGGATTATAACTGCATAAAAAAAATTCTCTCTATGACTAAGCTATCTGGCCCTTTTAAATTCCTTCTTAAAAGTGCATAAAGGAAAGAATGAATTTCAAAAGACTACTTTGTGTCTTTTTCTCAAGCTAAACACAGAGAAAAGAAGTAATGAGAACATAAACAAAAAATACATTTTTAAACAGACGAAAGCTAAAAAAGTCATGTGTTAATGTCTCTGCAGTCAAAATTAAATGTGATATGACACAACAAAAGAGGATATTACATTCCCAACAAAGAAGAATTTTAAAGTCAAGGAGACTGAACTACGATAAATAACGCCCTATGTTCTTCTACCCTGCCCAAACGTTGGGTACTTTGGAAATTTTGTTTCGATTACAAATTGGCTGTACTTGACATTATGAAACACATTGAATTTAAAACACCAACAAATACAAACATCCAAAGCCCGTTGCTTAGTGATGGAGTCATCTATAAATGAGCTTCTGCAATTATTTATAATAAAAAGGACTTGGATTAGTGCAAATACAAACGTTTCTGGATCTGTGAACATAAAAGTTCTTAGTCACTCAAACTTCATGGAAAAGTCCTGTAAACGTCTTGTTTAAACTTCCAGGTGCGCTCTTACCCTCTCCTCTCTTGCTTCCCCCGATGGAGGGACAGTGAAATGCAATACCGAAACATGCAGAAAACAACCATTTTGGCTTTTAAACCTCCTTCTATTTTCCCCTGATACTATTTCCCTCTTTACCAGGATTGAGACCCTGTTATGGAAACAACTAAACTTGAGTGCCTGCCTTGACATCGTTCACATTGGCCACTTGCCCCAGATTTGTAAGATTCTTGTGGTAAGATGAAATACAGCTGAATTCCCTTCATGTTTCAAAGTCAAACACTCATTTAGATCAATGGTTCCCAGGCTCTGGATTTCAAAAATGAAATTTCACAAATGAAATTTCAAAAATGTGTGGTGAACCAGCACAGGCTTGCCAACTTTTTCTTTTGCCAAGAAAGGATTTAGGGAAAATAATGCTCTCTACTATCAGTATCATTTTACAAAATAAAGAGCATTTTTAAGGCCAAAGAAGTAAGCAGTATATTATGTCAAGTTAAAAAAGTGGGGGGAGGCGGTCATCATTCCCAAGAAGAAAGAGTAGACAACAATACACTGATTGTATCACTCAGAATTCTGACAAGAAGCACATGGCACCCTTAGAGGGGTTAAATGAAAATTACTTCAGTCAAGTGACTATTTACAGAGGTGTGGGCAAAATTTTAAAAATTCCAACAGGGGATATGAGTTACCCAGAAATAGCCACAGCAGGAAGCCATTATTTCTCTGGGGCCTGAAGGGGTGGGGAAAGGGAAGAGTGTTTCTGGAGCCAAGTGAGAGCGGGAGACAACAGGAGCTGGATCTGGGACAAAGGCAGCCATGGCCTGCCATGATGAAGAATGGAGAGAGTGAAGCTAAAAAGACCACATCTATCTCCTCCATCCTGCCTGAACTCAACTGGAAATCAAGGGCAAGGGGCCCTGGGTGTTGCAGTCCACAGACAGCCTCTAGGGGCATGGAACAGATCAAAAAGGGTGAAATATGGATGGGGCTGTGGGTCCACTAGAGCATATTGACATTCTCTGGTGGAGGGGCCAGGGACCAGGCAGAGCAAAGTGTGTACATGTGAATGTCATTTTTCACTTCAATTGCAGGAAAATTACAAGAGAAATTTTATTTTGAGATATAATATTACTTGTAATTATATGCTTGATACACTGGTCATTTAGTGGCTCAGTATCTAATAGTGTAACGTCAAGTGGTGTTCAAATGGGCAACTTGTTCTAGTACTTTATTTTTATCACACTCATTAAAAATTCAACTTCACAAAGCTATAAAATAGAAGCAACACTTGACATTTTTATTTAGTTCAGAACATTTTGAGTGAATTAATGCCAAAATATAATAGCCTCCGGCCTCAGAGACTTCTCCTACCAGAGAGTTTCCCAAACTTTTGCCGCACGTTGATATCATCTGGGATCTTAAAAAAAAAAAAAAAAAATACTGATGCCTGGCTTACACCCCAGAAATACTGATTTAATTGGTAGAGGTAAAACTTTGCAAAGGATATTTTTTAAAAGTTTTTATTTTAGGAATTTTAGATTTAAAGAAAAGCTGTAAAGATAGAGTTCCCAGGGCATCTTTCTCTCCTTCTCTCAAAAATAAACATTAAAAATTTTTTAAAAATAAAAAGATAGTAGAGTTTCCATATATGTCATACTTGATCTCCCCTATAATTAACATCTCACTTTAGTATGGTGTATTGATCACAGTCAACGACTCAATCTTGAAACACTGATACATAATTTTAAACTAACATCTATACTTTATTCAGATTTCCATTAGTCACCTTATGCTCTTTTTCTGTTCCTGGATCCCACCCAGGATAGCACAATACATTTTAGCATGTCTCCTTGGGCTCTTGGCTGGGATCATTTCCCAGAATTTTCCTGTTTTGGATGGCCTTATAGTACTGAAGAGTACTGGTCAGGTATATTGTATGACATCTCTCAGTTTGGGTCTGTCTAATGTTTTTCTGATGATGAGACTATGCTTCTATGTTATATAGGGAGGAAGACCACAGAGGGAAAGTGTTACTCTCATCACATCATGTCAAGAGTACATACTATCAATATGATTTATCACTGTTAATGTTGACCTTGATCACCTGAGAGACACAGTGTTTATTTACCAGGCTTCTCTGCTGTAAAAGTCCTTGTTTGTTTTCCTTTCCACCCTGTATTCTGGGAGAAAATCACATGCACAGCCCACACTTCAGAAGTGGGAAGTAGGCTCCTCCTCCTTGAAAAAAAAATTTTAATGTTTATTTATTTTTGAGAGACAGAGAATGAGCAGGGGAGGAGCAAAGAGGGAGGGAGACACAGAATCCGAAGCAGGCTCAAGGCTCTGAGCTGTTAGCACAGAGCCCAACACAGGGCTCATACTCATGAACCACAAGATCATGACCTGAACCGCTTAACCGACTGAGTCACCCAGGCACCCCAGGCTCCTCCTCCTTGAGGACAAAGGATTTACATAAATTATTTGGAGTTCTGCATGGGAAATTGATCTATTTCTGCCACGATTATTTATTGATTTAAGCATTTATTTGTATCAATATAGATTCATAGATACTTATTTATATTCTGGATTAGAATCCAGTGCCATTTTATTTATTTTGTTTGTTCACATTGCTCCATTTTTGGTCATTAGGAACTCCTTTCACTGGCTCTTGTTTCCCTTTGGTACACCCCATCACTGGGAACTGTTGTGTGTGTGGTTGTTTTCCTTTGTTTGGTTTTCTTTCTTTTTTTTTTTTTGGAACTTCCATACTTTCTGGCACCATAAGATGCTCCAGGCTCATCTTGTGTATTTCCTCTATAGTCAGCCATTTATCCAAGGATTCCTGGTTCCTTTCATTGTACAATACTTTAGATATAAACATATGGGTATGTATGTGTCCTTGTTTCTAAGCCCTTTCATCTGACAGACCAAAAAGATATGTGTGCATATAGCTAATCCCCATATAGATACATATCTATAAATATTTCTCTATATAAACACCTATACCATAGAATTCATACTAATATCTCTAACTCTTATCAAGAACCAAGAGGATCATTCCTGCCTCTCCTCTTGCCTACCTGTAGGCTCCTAATATCCATTTACTTAATTGTTTAATTCTGGTATACGTGTATATTGGTTTCAGAACTGCTAGTCCATTCCCCCATGGGAAACTTCACCAACCAGACTAGAGTGCTTATGTACAATTCCTTGTTCCTCTGGGCTTCTAGTTGCTGCCACTCATTTCCAAGGCTATTTAGGTCAATGTACTTGTCCTCTAATCCTGGCAGTGAGGTTTTGTTCATACATTTGTAACATATTTAGATTGTTTTGTCATATTCTATATTCCATCCTGGGATCCCTTGACCTCCCAAATGATTTTTTTTTTAATTTACATACATTAAGGTTCACTCTTTGTGTTGCAGACATCTATGGGTTTTGACAAATGCATAGTATCAGGTACCCAACATTACGGTATCACACAGAAAGTTATCACCACCATTATGCTCATGGATACTTCACCTATTCAACCTTCCCCCTCCCTAAACTTCAATAATGACTAATCCATTCATTGTCTTTATAGTTTTGCCTTTCAAGAATGTGCTATAAACTCATACAGTATATAGCCTTTTTAGACTGCCTACTTTCACATATGCGTTTATCACTCATCTGTATCTTGAATGGCTTGATAACTTATTCTTTTTTATTACTAAGTAGTATTTCACTATATGTATGTGCCACAATTTGTTTATCCATTCACCTACTAGAGGATATCTGGTTGTTTCCAGATTGTGTTGATTATGAGTAAAGCTGCTATAAATTTTACATGGAGGCTTTGTGTGGATATAAGTTTTCAAATCAACAGGGTAAACACTTAGGAATTTCTGGATCATATGATAGATTATATTTAGCTTTATAAGAAACTGCCAAACTTTCTTGCAAAGCAGATGTCTGACTTAGGGATTTTTAAGAGCTTCCCAGATGATTTCAATGTGCAATAAAGTTTAGGGGCTGATGCTCTATTCTGAAAGGTTTGAGAAAAGCGTCAGTTAGGGATAGGATGAGTGTCTACCCATGAGGGCTGCAAAAAGAGAGTTTCAGGGCATTCTCCTCCTCAAGGCTACTCATAACTCAAGATACTGATCATACAAAGAGCAGTCAGTAATTTTTGTGGTGGATAAATCACAGGTAAATCTGGTGATAAATCTTGGAACTATACCTTTCCACCTACTTACCTTTGTGAGAGGTCAGATAAATGTCCATACTGCTAAAGATGTCCTCTGAAATGCCACCTCAATAGAAGATGTAAACAAAAGAACCAAAACGGGTAAGAAGGATGGGTTAGTCAGATGCTTTGCATTCAAGTTAACAGAATCCCAAATCAGCATAAGGAGAAAAAGGGTATGGGGAGAAGGGGTGGTATCTATTCGCTTATGTAGTTGAAATGTGCAGAGGTAGTCGAATCTCAGCACGACACAAATGATACCAACAAATTGGTCTTTCTTCCATTCTTCTTTCTTCTTTTCCTCTTCTCTCCTTCTCTCCCTCCCCTCCTTATCAAACCCCGCCTTCATCTCTCTAATCTTTTCTGTATTAACATTCTGGGTGGTGTCTCTGAATGTGTACAAATTTCTTCTTATAAGGACACCAGTCAGATTAGATTATGGTCCACCCTAATGGTCTCATTTCAACTTAATCACCTCTTTGAAGGCCCTATCTCCAAACACAATCAAATTCTGAGGTATTGGAGGTTAAGACTTCAACATGCAAATGTTGGAGGAGAAAAAAATTCAGTAGTCCATAACAACTATGCTCCCAGTGGGGAATCATTTCTCGTTTTCTACGTGAAGGAAAAAAAGGTGAGGACCAGTGCATATCTATCTCATATAACTTTCACATTTTCAATGTTGACTTATTAAATTCTCTTCTTCTCTTTTTTAAAAAGAACACTCATTGAATTTTTTTAAAGAATCCATCGTAAATGTGCTTTGAAAGGAAAAGCTAAGGGAAAGTAGCTGTAGTCTAGGAAAATACATCAGAAGACTATATCTTGAGCATCCTACTTGGATTCTTGGGTTTTGAGAGTCACCATATTGGGTGCTAAAAACTTCTTTTAGTTTTTGTCATTATTTAAATTACTGCTGAGAGAAGCCTAGGAAATCACTCTGAAGAGCCCTAATACTTTAAAAAGAGGTAAAAGATGGGAACCCCATTGTTATCAGTAAAATTGTTTTTCCCAGAAAGCTATGTCTTAACACCTAATACTTGTACATGTGACCTTATTTGAAAATAGAGTATTTGCAGATATAATCAAATTAATATGTGGTCATTCTCAACTAGGATAGGCCTTAATCCAGTATGACTGGGGCCCTTATAAGAAGAGAAAGTAGAGACACAGGAAAAGAATGTTGCAGACAGAGAAGATGTGAAGATTCAGTCCGAGACTGGAGCTATGTTGGTATAAGCCAAGGAAAGCCTGGGGCTCCCAGAAGCTGGAAGAGTCAAGAAAGATCCTCCCCTAGAGACGTCAGATGGAACATGGACCTGCCAACATCTTGATTTTGACTTCTAGAAGCCAGAACTGGGAAATAATAAATGTAAGTTGTTTTAAGCCATCCAGTTTGTGGTACATTTTCACGGCAACTTCTAGGAAACTAATACACCCACCGAGAAGACTGAGAAGGGGAAGCCAGAGAGGAAGTAAGAAACCCAGCTTTTGGAAGTCAAAAGAAGAAAATGGATGGGGAGTTGTTTGTATTGTCAACTACTCTAGACAGGTTACATAATATCCAAATTGTAAGTATCTGTTGAGCTTAGCATTATGCAAGTGCATAGGCATTTACCATTAATATAAAGAATTGTTAAGCAGTTTCAGTAGAGAGATCACTTCTGGCTAAAGGACTAAGGAAAATTTCATGGATGGTATGGCATTGAAGCTGGAATTTAAAGCATAAATAGGATTCCAATATGTAAAAATGGAAAGTGTTGTAGTTAGAGGGGGAAAGTGAGTAAAATTATGGAGAGAAAAAAATTCAAGACATGAAGAGGAAATGGACAATAGTACACAAGGTCTTTATAAAGGAGATGTTATTTGGAGTCAGAGCACAGATGTCCTTAAATGCTATGCTAAGAAGTATGAACTCTACTCTGGAAATTGGGACATGGTACAATATTAAGTATAAGTTCAAGAAGATTGTATGGAAAATGGTATATAAATACTAATGAGTAAGCAAAATGGACAAATGAGAGGACTATAGACAAGGAAAACTGGAAGCTACTAGAATGCCCGGAAGAGACATTCCCAAGATCTGAACTAAAGTGACAATGAGAATGGAAATATAGTTCCTATTTTTGAAGCCCTATCATATACCAGGTGTCAGCTGGCTGCATTATATAGGTTAATTGCTACATCTGACAATTCCTCTCTCTGGTAGGACTTACTGTCCTGATTGTACATTTGTGGAAACTATGACTCAGAGACATTAGGTATCTTATCCGAAGTCACACAAAACTAATAAATACTGGGGCTAATATTTGTACCCAGAAATCTGGTTTATTTTTAGGACTCTTGCCTCATCAACTTACCTATCCTACAGTTCATGTTGCAAATTCTAGATACTATTTGGAAAGTATATTAAATGAAACTCTGCACACTTCAATTTGGCAACACCTCCTTCAAAAAGGAAAGAATAGGGGCGCCTGGGTGGCTCAGTCGGTTAAGCGGCCGACTTCGGCTCAGGTCACGATCTCACGGTCCGTTAGTTCGAGCCCCACGTCGGGCTCTGTGCTGACAGCTCAGAGCCTGGAGCCTGTTTCAGATTCTGTGTCTCCCTCTCTCTGACCCTCCCCCATTCATGCTTTGTCTCTCTCTGTCTCAAAAATAAATAAACGTTAAAAAAAAGGGAAGAATATTGTGAAAACACAGCCATTCTCTTTGGGAAACTCACTGTGTGGATTGTATATCGTTTGCCATCTATTTTCCCATATTTCCTAGCTCCTAAAACACACTGTTTCACTATCATAAGCATTTAATAACTTTCCTTTTCCCACCAGTACCTGGGACGCCAGGTGCATTTTGACATAATACCTTTGAAAAGTACCTTTTTGAACTATCTTTGAAGCACTGCTACTCAGTGCACATTGATTTTCCTTTTAAACTAGAATCACTTAGTGTTTCCCTGTCAGACACTCACTGATGACCATTTATCCCTGAGACATACATGAATGAATCAGACAATGTTCTAATGATACTGAATTGGAAAGAAAATGGTACCTTGATTCCTGTTTATAAGTTTATTGTATCAAAATAAAGATACAAACTTTTAAAGAGGGCATGCTTCAATGCTTGATGAAACAGAACACAAGCTATCCTTTGATGAGCTTTTAAAGAAATCCTTGATGTATTTATTTTTAATAATAAAATATTGGGAAGTCAAGTGTATTCCTGCACATCTCAGGCATTGAAGGAAATGATCAATGTCATTGCAAGATAACTGGCTACCATCTTTTGAGGATCTAAACTAAAAACAGGAGAACTGGAGGATTAGGAGAGAAAAGCACAGGGACCGAATAATTGCCTTTCCTCCTTCTGTTTATATAATAAATGCACTCATCGTTGCCATGGCAAAGGAGCCAGTCTGTTTTTCCCATTCCTCTGTTTCTACCGGTTATTATATCCAACACCAGCAAATGTCATATTTCACTATCATCTTTCTTGGATCATTATGTTTATCCATCTACTCTGCATTTACTACTCTATTCATAGTCTTTTTCATAGTGATACTGAGACAAAAAGTGATTTCAGATGAGGGAAGTAGCTTCAGATACAGTTAGAGGAACGAGGAAGCAAAGAGTGATGGAAGGGAGAAGGAGAAAAAGACCTCTGCAGTTAGCCTTCCTAACGTTGGAAAGCCCCACGGGTCCAAAAGGAAAGAACTCTAAAAATGTCATATAAAGCAAATTCCATCTTGTTGATAAGTTGAATCAACTTTGGAGATGTATATTTTGGCTTTCTAAACCCAAACCACCATAATGATGGCAGTCATAGTCTCTTTTGTCATGATCAGGCTGAGCTCATCTCAGCATCAATTCTAAATTAGGGGAATTAATAATACCACTGTTCTCAGATAGTCGTGCAACATGTGGAGTATTCTGTCCAATCCATGATGCCACATCTTGTCAGAGAAAGTGACACATTAATGTGTTTTGTAAAGATGACAACCAAGGTCTTGCAACCACATTCCCCCACTCATTAATTCGTTTGTGTATCCAAAGATTACTTATTAAAAGCATATTATGTGCTAAGCAGTGATTTAACCTGAAATTAAAAACAAACAAACAAACAAAACACGAGTAAGCCTTCATCCCCTTCTCTCAAAAAGTTTACATTTCAACCCAGCCATGCAAGAGGCAGTTGAACGAACAGGGTGTTTTTAGTTTAGAAAAAAAGAACACTGAGTTTGAAGAACTATCCCTAAGAAGATACAAAATTTAGGAAAATGCCACAATCTATAGGAAACAATCAATAAGGGCGAGATAAGTGGTTGCATCCTGTTTATATGCCCTAAGGATTGAATGTATAAACAATCAGCTCAATTGTTCTTTCTTGTTCATTTCCATTCCACAGGCAAAAGGATGAGGTAGCCTGCCTTTGCTTTCATAAATCCTTCAGTTGCAGGCTCTGATATTCTTGTTGAAACAATTCTACAGAACAAAGGGACCATGGGAAAGCTCAGGACAGGAAAGTTTCCAGCCTTGCACAATTTAGAAAGAGTCCAGCCAACAAACAACCTGGATTCTGCCTCAAAGATTTGAACAGTTCCTATGTGGAATAACTTAGAGACTAGACTCACGTAAAGTTGCAAGAAACTAAATTGAGACTAATAAGTGGATAGTATAAAACTAAGCTTTCAAATCAATACTAAAAACAAAGAAACAAAAAAACTCTAGAGCAATACTTCTCAAACTACAATATGCATATAAATTATTGGGAAAGCCTGTTAAATGTAGATTCTGATTCAGGTCTGGCATACAGCTTGGGATTTTTAATTTCTAACAAAATCCCAGTTTGGGCTGATGCTACTGATCCTAGGATTAAATTTCATGTATTGCTGCTCTACAGACCTCTAACATTAGGGCTCACGGGGATGTACTGGGTTACAGGCACTAGAACTACTTAAGCAGAAGCTTATTTGTCAGGCATACAACAGAAAGGAAATCTATGCTGCATGAGAGAGTGGGCTAGATGTTCCTTTTTAAATCTAAATCATTCGATTCAGGGCTTTTTATAATGGACTTAATTTTACATGTGATTGCTTCTTTTTAAGTATTAAAACATTTTTGCATAGATAATGAAAGTAAAGTGAGACTTTTCTTACCACTTCAATAGATGTGAAAACAGAAGATCTTAGACACTGAGTGATTTGCTCAAAATTCACTCTGTCATACAATGAATTTATTAAGCACCTACTCTTAGCCAAGATCTAGCAGAGGGCTGGACAACCAGCAATGAACATGTAGAACCCTGCCTCCCAAAGATCACAGACTAGCTGAATAGCACGTAACACATCTATGTGATCAATTTCATTTGCTATTAGCACACTGAGTTGCCAGACAAAGACTCTCAGATCAGGAAAACTGATCACTATGACAGTGAGACCAAGGGGAAAAGAATCCATCATTTGAAGTGCCATCATTCAAGTGACAGAGAAGAGCTCCACTGAATTTTCCAGCAGTTTGGGATCTATTAGGAGGGACAGCATGACTCTGGCACTTTGACAGGACAGCATTTCACTTAACTTGAAGAAAGTGTGATATAAGCAACAGTTAAGTCATCCTAACCTCTAGCAACAAAACAGAAACTAAAAATCCCATCTACTCACTTCTCCACCAGCTGACCTACCTCCCCACCCCCACTTTGTAGGATGGGACCGAAATCCTCCCATTAAGACCATCTAGAATCTTTCACACTGCAAAAATAGGCAGACTGAGACCTCACAGGAAATAAAAACCCACCAAGACGTTGTGTGCTGATTAGCATTTACACATTTAGTTTAGTGTAAAGTGAACCTGATAATTCCTTTCTTCATCAAGCTCGTCCATACAGCACCTCAGTATTACTCTCTTCCAATCCCCTCAATAATTTCCAGGATGACTTCCATCATACTTTATCTCTTTCTAAGACTCGGAGTACTGCTCAGTCCATTATGAATTATGTCTTCTGACTTCTGTTTCACTCTTACTACAAGGCTCCAATCCTTTCATCTTTTCTCTATGCCATCTTTATTTTCTTTTCTTCAGCCCACTATTCCTACCATTTAAGGTTTAAGGTAATACAGTAGAGAGAATGTTGAGACATGCTAAAATAATTTTGTATATCCTCAGGTCTCTTCATTGTGTGTCAGAGGTTGGGTTTCCCAGGAAACAGACTTCCAGATAGAGATTTGCATGCAGGTGGCTTATTGGGAAGTGCTCCACAGAACACCATCTCCAAGGGAGTAAGAGAAGCAGGACTGGACAGCTGGAAAAGAAGAAAAACAATACAGCTGCCACAGGTGCCTAAGACAATTTCACAAGGAATACTGAAGCTGGGATGACCCTTCTGAGATATCCCTAATTGAGGCCAGGGGAGAGGGCTTTATATCATCTACATTGATTAGTCAACAGTCCGAATAGCAAAACACAGCATCCACTATAATCCACTTCTCACACTGCCTGAATCCATTTGCTTCACATAATGAATTTACCTCATCTGGGAAGAACTCTTCCAGAATTCTAATTGGTCTTTCCTCCTTGGAAAAACTTACAAGATGAAGAAAGTTGGTGGAACAAACTATAGCTTCTGCCACTGCAGCTGGTCCTTGAAACATAGCTGACTCTTTTTTTTCTTTTTTAATGTTTATTTATGTATGAGGAGAGAGAGCACAAGCAGGAGAGGAGCAGAGAGAGAGAAGGAGACACAGAATCCGAAGCAGGCTCCAGGCTCCAAGATGCAGCACAGAGTCCAATGCGGGGCTCCAACCCATGACCTGCAAGAGCATGACCTGAGCCGAAGTTGGACGCTTAACCGACTGAGCCACCCAGGCGCCCTGAAACACAATTGATTCTTATCACCTTCCTCTACTTCCTATTCTCTTATTTATTTGTTTGTTTATTATTTTAATTCCAGTGTAGTTAACATACAGTGTTATATTAGTTTCAGGTGTACAGTAGAGTGATTCAACAATTCTATAAGTTGCTCAGTGCTCATCAAGATAACTAACTGTACTCTTGATCCCTTGACCTATTTCACCCATCCCCACCCACCTCTCTTCTGATAACCATCTGTTTGTTCTCTATAGTTAAGTGCCTGTTCTTCTGTTAGTCTCTTTTTTTTCTTGGTTCATTTGTTTTGTTTCTTAAACTCCACATTAGTGAAATCGTATGGTATTTGTGTTTCTCTGACTTATTTCACTTAGCATTATACTTTCTAGATCCTTCCATGCCACTGCAAATGGCAAGATCTCATTCTTTTTTATGGCTCAGAAATACTTTATTGGATATATCTACACCACATCTTCTTTATCCACTCATCTATTGATTGACCCTTGGACTCCTTCCATATCTTGGCTATTGTATATAATGCTACTATAAACATAGGGGTGCATATATCCTTTTGAATTAGTGTTTTCGTATTCATTTACCCAGCAGTAGAATTACTGGACCATACGGCAATTCTATTTTTTACTTTTTGAG